CAAGAACTCTAGAGGGTTTAGCGGTCGAAAGGTGTTTGAGTTTACAATTACAACGCTGATGAAATGATATTGAAATGAAAGGCATTATCTACAATCTGCTCTCTATTTTCTATTTCAAGTGCTCTCTACGTTCGTACGCATATCGTTCCTATCAGTCCTCTCGTTATCACTTTTTGACCCCCACCAAATATGTTCCCGTCCCACCCCCTATATCATGCCCAAAATCAGCTCCTGACGACTGCTGCGAAGCGCACTATGAATTTCGTGAAATTTGTGTTTCAGCGCCTCTTATCTGCTCTTATCAGTCGTTATCACTTTGTGACCCCCACCAAATATGTTCCGCCTCTTACCCACTATATCATATCAAAAAATCAGCTCCTAACGACTGCTGCGACGCGTGCTATGAATTTCGTGACACACGCACACACACGAGACGGAGCAGCCAGACTTAGCCGTTTATACAGGGGGGGGGCAAAAAAAAGACATTTTGCCTATGTCGGACTTCGGCTCTTTTTTCTTCGCAGAGATTGCTGTCGTTGACGGGAGTTCCTCAGCAGAGTATTCCCTAAGTGTTCCTCTATTAGTGAACGCAGGCTCTCCTTCACTGCCCTCACCGTCTTCAGAATATGACGTCATCTGTCACCGTCGTCAGGCTCAAGGAGGTCTACCGTAAGAGCTTCAGCCTGAAGCTCTTACGCAATTTCGTGAATCGATTTAATGTTGGATAGTTTTCTAGAGGCATTAGCTACCACTGTGCAAATCCCCTCGGAACTAGCTTTCCAGTAAGGGTCGTTATGGTACACGATCCTTCGAAGACCCCATTGAGATCGACCAGTGCACCATGTTTCCAGGGCTAATTCTTCTGATGCCGTCCACGTACGTGGCCACTATGAAGATTTTCTTATAGAATGGAATGCACTCTTTAATAATAAGTTGGAACCGTTCGGTCTGAGTTGAGTAAAATGTGCTTAAATCCATCTGGAAGTGGAGGCAAAATGTCTTTTTTTTGGCCCCCCTGTATAGTAGGGACAAGAAGTTTCACCTTCACAAAAGTGTGCAGTCGCAGAATGTCTAGCATAGAATGCCCGGAGTATCTGGGGTGCCTCTTAATATCAGCGAGGTCACGCTCAACATATCAAGTTATTGGTTGATCAGACCCTTACCTGAAGTGTGTAGCGGTATTTTAGGAGATACAGAACAAGTTTAGACTATACATATTTATTACTTAATAGAAGAATATAAGATAAGGGAGAGAGGGGAATAAGGGGAGTGAGTGACGGCGGCCTGCTGACGACTGGCGAGCCTCTTGCTCGCGACCAACGGGTGCCAGCTGCTTGCTTCGGCACCGTAATCCGGGCGCCGTGGGTGGCACCTTTCCCATCCAAGGCAAGGATGTGACATCTCCATTCCTTAGAGTGAGCTCGTCCTCGAGCTCTAAGCATAGTTCCATTCCAATATCCCTCGAATGACTTTGAGGTAGCGAACATGTTGAATGATACAAATGACAATAAAGATAAATGCAGGTGAGGTCAGAGAGCCATCTAGATCTAATGACGACTACGTCTTCCCTCACAACAGCGTTGTCATTCAACAACACTGGAACATATACTGTTGTAAACAAAAGGATGAATTCGATCACAATACTTGCGATGTGATGATAGCCTTCGGCTATGGGCGTAGGTACAGGTAACTGAAGAAAAAACAGACAATGTCACTTTGAGTGGCACTCACTCACTCCTTCAAAAGGAAGCTCGTCCTCGAGCTTTATAGGTTTACAACAGAGATTGGAATAGACCGTACAAGGCGGTTCCCTGTTGTAAAGGTGATGAGAAAAAAGGAAATAAGAAGATAAACAAACATAACAAGAGATTGTTCTACTTTACAACTTATTTTTACATTCAAGAAATACTGTTAAATCAGAGGTAATTTTACTTTCGCATTTTCCTAATTAAAGAACATCGAAAACTATCTCTATGAGTTATATAATTCGTTAGTAAAGGAAATCAAAATGCATGTATAGTCTTTTTGAGAAAGTTTGCTCTTTGAGCTGTTATATATTGCATCAATAATATAAAAATTATTACAAACCATGATCTTTAGTACAATCTTATGATTGTTGACCAGGATGAAAACATTTAATAGATGGTACATATACGAGTACTAGTCTTTTTAATCGAAATATAGCGACTAGTACAAGGGCGTGGTTTTTTTTTTATTTTTTTTTGTTTTTAGTGGCGCTGCCTTAGTTATACTTTTTGAACCGCCGATTCAAAGAGTACTTGTTCGTTATTTCGCGACTGTGCGGCTTAAGAAGTGAAACTAAACTGACCTAGAAGAACTAACTGTTTCGAGGTAACAGCTAGCTCTCCTGCAGCTGCCAGCATAGCTTCCGCTAAAATTGACGCTTTTCCTGAATTCGACGAGAACGTCGTATTAAAGGTTGCGTTGTGCCAGATGATCTTTCCTCCGTTGGTGGTAAGACTGCTGGTAATTGCGTGTTTGGGATGGAAACATCATCCGACAAGCAACGCGGAGAGTACAATTTTAAGCGATTTATGTGAACAACTTGTCGTCCAGGACGACCTACAATGTTAGTTATACTTATATTAGGACGGTTGATTTCATCAACCTTAAACGGACCTTTCCATTGGTTCGTAAGCTTTGGACGAACGGTGTCGTCATGTAAAAGAACTAAGTCACCAATGGAAATGTTCGTCGGGTATACCTTATGTTGTAGATCGTATCCGGTTTTGTAAAACGACGACTTTTGAGGCGATCTCGTTGCCCACTTCCATTATTGTGTTCTTTAGGCCGCCAGCAAATTGGTCAGCGAAATTGTCTGATACGAGACCAGACGTTGAGGCAGCTCATGGAGAATGTCACTCCATGTATCGGACACCTACCATGCACAATGAAGAATGGGCTATAACCAGTCGTTGCATTTTTACTGCAGTTATATGCAAAAACTATAGGCTGAACGAAGTCTGACCACAGGTGTCTGGCTTCCGAACAGTACGCTGTTAGCGAATCTGTTACACCTTTACCAGTCGTTCGGCTTGTCCATTAGCCTTGTGGTTGTAACTTGTAGTAAATTTATTTGTAATGCCTAGTGCTTTGTTTATTTTGAAAAGACTTCGCTAGTGTAGTTCGAGCCACGGTCCGAAACGATTTCGTTTGGGATTCCGTGCTTCGAAATAACATCATTGATCAGTGCTTTAATAACTGATTCAGTGGTTTGGTTTTCTAGCGGAGTGCAGATCACAAATTTACTAAAAGCACAGACAGTTATCGAAATGAATTTACTACCATCCTCACATTGTGGAAGAGGTCCAATTATGTCCGTGTGAACACGTTCAAAAGGTCTATTGGGGACAGGAAACGTGCCCATTTCTTCCCTAATAATATGTTTTGAAGGTGTTTTTATCTTCTGACATATTGTACATGTTTTGATGTATGTTGATACATCTTGGTACAATTTTGGCCAAAAGTATTTCTCTTTTATCGTTTTATATGTTTTAGTTATTCCAAGGTGTGATCCTAGAAGTGGATTTTCATGAAAAATAGCAACGATACTAGTTTGCATGTTTTCCTCTGGAATAAACAATAATTCTTTGTTGTGGACAGTATAGTACAAAGAATTGTTACGAATTGAGAAATTTTCTATTTTGTCTCGAAATTCTCGAGGGGGTTCCTCAATCTCATTATTAAGGAATTTTATGAGTGAACCGTACCTGGAGTTTCTCTGACTCTCTTGAATTTCTTCAAGAGAAGGAAAGGATTGCGCTGCTACTGAATTAATGTGGGGTAGAGGATAACGACTTAGGAAATCGCAAAAAGTGTTATGTTTGCCAGCTCGATATTCAATTTTAATATCGTATGCTTGCAAAGTGATCTGATATTTTGCTAGTCGTCCTACTAAATCTGCCCTATGCATTAATGATTTGAGCGGTGCGTGATCCGTTATGAGCGTTATTCGCGCATTCGCTACATATGGGTAAAAATGGTTTAATGCGAATACTATTGCGAGGGCCTCTAACTCAATGATGGCGTAATTTTTCTCATGCTTGGTTAGTGAACGACTACAATAAGCTATGGGATGTTCTCCCTGGGTCTTTTGACTAAATTGTAGCAAACATCCACCTAAGCCAATAGTTGATGCATCCGTATGTATTATGTACGGTTCTCCAAATGTGGGGGAAACCAATAGAGGTGCCTTCAACTAGTGCTTGTTTCAAAGTAAGAAACGCCTGTTCATGAGAATCGGTCCAAACGAATGGTACGTTTTTAACCAGTAAGTTATTAAGCGGGGTAGCGATTATAGAGAAGCGCGGTAAATAACGACGAAAATACGATGCGGCTCCTAAGAAAGACTTTATAGCCTTTACGTCCTTTGGACGTGGTATATTGGCAATACTCGCCACCTTATTAGGATTTGGGCGAGTGCCATTTTTGCTTATCAGAACACCTAGATATTGTACCTTCAGTTTGAAAAAATGAACATTTTTCTGAGGTTAGTTTCATTCCAAACTTTTTAATGCGTTGGAAAACTTCTTCGAGATCATTGAGGTGCTGTTTGACCGATTGGCTTGCGATTATAATATCGTCTATATATGCGAAACAGCATGATTTCAGCTTCACGTATTAGGCTATTCGCTACCCTCTGAAATGTAGCTGGGGCTCCTTTTAGCCCTGTGCCATTACTGTGAATTGGTATAATCCCAAAAATGAAGAGAACGCTGTGCGTTCCTTGTGTCTCTCTAGTAGAGGAATTTGGAAAAAACCACTTTTGAAATCAAGGACCGAATATATTTCTTTCCCGCTTACAAGATCTAAAATATCTTGCATGTGGGGAATGCAATACGTTTCGGTTTCAGTGATTGCATTAATCTGACGATAATCTACAGTAAATCGCCATTGGTCTTTATTGGGACCCTTTTTAACCAAGACTATTGGAGAGGCGAAATTTACTGGTACTAGGCTCTATGATACGTGTTCTCAACATTTCTTGGATTTGTCGTTCAATTTCGTTCCGTTTTTCCAAGGGTACTCGGTACGGTCTTTGTTTGGGGGTTGTTGGGTGTGGTACAAAATTAATACTGTGAGTTATGGGACCTTTATAACGACCGAGATTTCCATCATTTCCTACAAAACAATCTTGATATTTATTTAGTAGTTTGTAAAAATCTTGGAGCTGTGCATTATCTAAAGAAGAACGGTTGATTTGAATTTGATTTTGGATTAATGTTGAATGTTTGGCGTTAGGAAAATGGGGTAATTCTTTAGCAAAATCCGCCTCTGGGGGTGTATATTCGGAGATTTCCTTACTTGGTGGGGTATCTTTGGAAGAGTTTTCGTTGGTGTATACAGAAAATACAGGGTTCCAAGGCATTTCTATACCCACAAAAGCTGCTGTTGCAACTTGTGTATTTTTGGGTAAAGTAATGAGGGTAGGATGTGAATTAAAGATACGTAAATATACTGTACCGTTAACGTTTGGGCAAGACAGGGTTTTGCCCACGTGAATTCCTTCCGGTAAGTTACATAATGGGTCATCTGAAGTGAAAAGTTCCCAGTTATGAGGAAATGTGGTTTTGGTCGTTCCTATAGCCACATTATCGGAAAATGGTTGTAAAATGGTTTTATTAACTAAATAAACTGGAAGGGTTAGGAAATTATGTTTGTTATAATCGAGTGTTGTGAATGGAATGATTATTTTATCAAAAGAAACTGTATTGGAATGGTAATTGATTGACATTGTTTGTGCAAATAACTGAATAACATCGTTGCCAAGTATAAACGGAGAAGAACAGTTGCTATCAGAAGCCACGTAGCATGTAATTTGCATAGTCTTGCCTCCTATCGTGAGGTTTGGGGTAAACTGACCAAGTAGATTCATCGTGGATCCATTTGCTGTTATACCTTTTGTAATGATGGACCGTGAAAGCTGAGCGTTGATTTTTCGAGCTACGGTATCAGAAACAATTGTAAGAGCGGATCCCGTGTCAAGAAGAGCGACAATCGATGAATTGTTGAGCTTTGCCGGAATATATATCATTTGGCTATTATATCCATTATGAAGGCAGGAAATACCTGGGAGAAAATTTAGAAAAGGTTCTGGCTTAGTTAAATGGATTGGAGGAGCTGGAACTTTTGGTAACCTGATGATTGTTGGAGGGGGTGCTGGCATATTAATCATTGGAAGAGGAGCAGCCGGTAGATGAATTGTTGGAAGTTGAGTTGGTACATTAACTGATTCTAGATTAACTACGGGGTCTCCCTGAGTATGTCGTTGTTGCTTTGTCGTGACGACAAATGAAGAACTTTTCTTTTTGCAAGTAGCAGCAAAAAGGAATCTTATGAAAGCGCCCATACTCCGGAAGAAGAGATTCAAAGGTATCCTGAACAAAGCTGTTTGACAATAGAGAATTGCAACTGCGACGACGAAGAAGAGACAGATGGACACGATGACAATCGTCCTGACCAAACTATGTAGTCCAAGAGATTCGAGAATTTTTTCCTTTTGTGACTGAAGAAACTCTCCAGCGTTGGATTCTAAAGATGCGGCCGTGTCCGTCAATTCCTGTCCGAGTTGATTTGGTATTGATCCAGCTTCGTTCGATTGTTTTGATTTTACGGTATAGAGATCATTCATTGCGTTGAGACGGTTTTTAATTAGGTATAAGTTGGTTGAAATTCTAGCAAGATCGGAATGAAATATAGGAGGAGAATTAAATACAAAGTTTTCATGTGCCAGACTGTTAGGTAAGTTTAAATGAATATTAGTCACCTGAGCATAGCCCGAGGGTGATTTGTAGTGGTTGTTCCCGTCATTATAAATGCCAAATGGTAAATGTCCGCAATCTGCTTGAGGACTATGTTTAACAAGGTCACGTGTACCTGGTTGTATGAAATAAAATATTTTCCCAGATCTGACTGGAGTGAAAATATAACAAATTCCCTTCACTCTATGATCAAAGATAATTTCATCAACAATGATTTCTTTGCATTTGGAGACCATTAATACGTCTCCTGCCGACAAGGCAAATATGTCTTCTCGATTCAAAAGAATACGAGCTGCGCTGGTTGGATTGATCTGAGCAATGCTTTTGATTGAATGGGCTTTGAAATTTGTAAGCGAGCAAATTTTATCTAACAGGAAGTTAAAATCTTGCCTTATAATTTCGTCCATTTTGATTTTCAAAAACTGCATTTTGGTGTTAAGTTCTGAATGGCGGTTGTCTTGCCTTTGCTCATGATTAAGGGTTAAATCGTTGTTCATTACCGTGAAATCCGGTTCTGAACTCATAGCAAGATGATGAGCAATTTTGGTTGACATGTTAGACGAAATCTTGCCATCAGTACCTTCCTGAACGCTCAGAATCGAATCTTTTGTGCCGGTTAATAGTGTGGTTAGAGACTTATGATTACTCGAAGTTATCGCTGCTAGTCTTTTATTGCGCGATAGTGGCATTTCCAAACGAAGCGTTTTACTATCCACAGATCTTTTGTGCATTGTGTGGATGAATTTATGAAGAAGAGGCAAATTTAATTGTAGATCCGGAAAAAACGGCATGTCCGTATCTAATTTATATTCGCCCTCCTTAAGATGAGTGTCCGATTTGGATTTCACTTGAGAATTTTCGGTATTAGCGCGCTTGCATTCGAGCTGCTTGAGTGACTGTGGTCACTAGTTGCAAAAGCTTCGAATTGAAAAAATGCTTTCGATTAGTAGCGTCTACCACTTCGGGATGTTGCGAAAAAATAGTGCGAGGATTGTATTCCTCAATTTCTGGAAGAATAATGAACACACCATTATCCATTGGGATTGCGGACTTATTTAGGCACCATGCGTTAAGCTGAGAATCCGAAAAAGTTATGTTTTTATAAGTGAAAGCTGATTGAATATTATTCAATACTACGTGAGTGGGGGTTACGTATGCAACTCCTTCAGTAGCTTTTACATATCGACAAATTGAAATATTTGTCCAAATAACCGTGCCATGGGTAAGAGTACATTGATTTTCTCCAATGTTACAATGTGCCATGTTTCCAAATTGGCCTATCAGGTGAGTACCATCAAAAGTAGCGATTGTCCCTTTTTCGAAATAGACATTGGTAGTGACAGTACACTTTTCTCCGAAAAACCACGGATAAGAGTAATGAATTTGGTTTTCCGATCCATATACACTTGTAGAAAGTGCTTGCAAAGGAACATCCAAATATTTTTTCACTTCCGTTAAAGATCTGCAAAGTGCAGGGTCCATTGGGTCATAAATTCTTCGTCACTATTGACTGAGAACGATACATGTAAATATGAGGATGCACATATCCTCCTAGTTTTATTGAAGCAGTGGTATGCCGATAATAACAGTGGTTCTGTTCTTTCAACATAAAGTTCAGCTCCAGTAATCAAAACTTCCGATGAGTTCGGAGAACTTGTGCATTGCACAGGATCAGGGAAGGCAATTGGCCAGCCTGATTTTCCTGCTGCACAAACCTGATACTTAAGAGAAAATGCCGAAGTAGGAGTTATGAACATACTTATAATGGCAATAACGAACAAGGATGTCATGGGATTGAAAAGTGTTTTTGGACTACCAGGAATTATTGAATTCACTGGATAGCGAGATCTAGAATGTTGCTGGCGAAACGGAGCGTTTTGTTGGCGACGAAAAGGAGAATTTGTCCTACGATTCGAAAAGTTTGGTTGATTAAACGAAGAATTTTGTTGTCGATAAGGAGAGTTTTGCTGACGAAATGAAGAATTTTGTTGGCGAAATGGTGAATTGGGACGTTCATATGAACGTCCTTGGTTTCTATTGTAGCTCGAATTATTTGAGCGATTTTGTGTTCCTTGAAAATAAGGAGATTGTTCTCTTACATATCTAGTTTGATTGTTGGGAGCAAATCTCACCCTATTACGTGATGGACTTCTAAAGCGCGGGTTATTTTGATTATTGTTTTGATAGTTATTAGGTTGTTATATTGTTTAGGCGCGTAATTAGGGTTATAGTTGCGCAGTGGTTTACGAAAATGTGAGGCTGTAGGCACTCGTTTGGAAACTATTTCGTCGATAGCTCTATCGATTTTCGCTATCAGCATATCTCCTTCTGGAAGAGAATTTGTTCTAGTAATATCATGCATTCTTTCCGCATCCCGTAGAAGTGACTCATAGTTGTTAGATAAGGGACCGAGAAGTTTAAGCTTTTCCTTAATTTTATAAGGTAGGCCATTAGAGAATACCATGTGCTGAAGGAACTTGCGCTGTTCTATGAGGTTATTGTTGGGATAGGCGTCCATGATTTCTTTTCTAATCCTGTTGGAAAAGACTACAGGAGATTCTCCTGCATCCATGCGCATGTTCATGATTTTTTCTCGAGCCATGTCTAAGAATTGATCGGTGGAAAAATGATCCTTAAGTTTGGTAACCGCCTTTCGCCAATCTAATTTATCTTCGTCGGTCAGATTTTCAAAAACTGCCTTCGCAGTTCCACTGAGGTGGGCTGGAAGGAGGCGAACCATTTTTGATTCGTTAAGTCCCATTATATTACCTATTTCATTGAACTTATCCAAGAAATCCATAAATCCCGCTCCCATTCTTTCTCCGGAAAAGGTGGGAAGTTTGTTAGCGTACGAAGCAAGGCATAGCCTTTCGAATGCAGATTCCAAATTATTTACGGGTTGAACGGTGGTGTCCATTGGAGCGGCTAAAGTTGCGGCTAAGTGTTGGTTAGGTCTTGGAAAAGTTTCTTGAACGTAGTCGTACAGTCGTTCAGTTGCGGGGTCTTTTGTATTAAGAGATGCGTTCTCTAGCTGCAAATTACTATTGGGTTCGTTGATTGGTTGCGGAGATGGAGTGCGTGGCGTACCGATCGATGAGTAAGGTGTTAGTGTAGGAGATTGGTTTACTGCTGGAGGTGCAGTGGGTGTCAATTGCGGGGGTAGGGATTGTGCGCGACTGTGAGAAGATTGGGGTTCCGAGTTGTGAAGAGAACTGTATTGATTAGGAGTTACTGTCGGTGGGTTCCTATCCCTTACTTTCTTTTTCTCTGGGGATGAAGTTGGGCGAACTCTAGTCCGTCTCTTAACCGAAGTTCTTCCCTCGGCGAGACTATGAAGTGGTCTTCCGTCCGAATCTGTTAAGATTTCAGTATCGGAACTACTCATAAGAGGGTTATTGAACAGGAAATTACTTTGTTCTTAAAGATTATGTTTCGATTGTTTGATTATTATTACTATTTCAAATAGAAAGAGAAAAAATTCTTGATATCAAAGTTTCTTAGCCTTCACTAAGACGGTTGATATCGGAAACCTTGAAAGTTTCAAATAAATCAAAGAAAAAATAGAAAAGCAGTGAACAAGGAGGGACAGAAAGTGGAGAAAAAGAAACGGTGATAAAAGAAACTTAGTATGAAAGTTGAAAGCTAAGGACTCACTGATCCTTAGATGGATTGAAGTGAAGTCGCTTGAGAGTAGAGGGTGGAGGGTCCTTGTGCGTTGATGTCCAATTGATCCTTGAGAGCTTGAAGTTGAGAGCAGGAAGTTTAGTCGACCAGTCCAGGTGGAGATGGTCGATGTGAATGAGTTTCTGGTAAGCTCCTGTGCCTACCAGTACACTCTTCGGTAGCTCCTCCCTCGAGCAGCTGTTTCTCAAACTCCTCCCAGAAGTAGCAGCTGTTAGTTAGACTCCCCTACTAGCATCCTTTTCTATTACGGTAACCCTTTACAGGCTAAATATATGAATTGAATAAAATTACAAGACTTAAATTAAAACCAGAATGGATAGAAGGTCTTGTTGGCTTTTTAGAAGTCATCCTTGGGATTCGATCCTCGGACCGTGCGCGTGATAGTCAGCGCTGTTGCCTCTGCACCACTTGCGTCCTAGTGTGATTGGTTCCCGACGAGGCCATCAATATGTGGCTCTGTCCCAGTTGTATTGATTGGACTCAAAGAACGATCACATCCTCGTCGGAGGTGCAACAGTCCTGGCAAGGTGCCAATCAACTTCTATCGAACGTTTTAGGGAAAATGAAATGAATTGGAGAAAGGAAATCAATAAATAAAACCTTTTTTTCCGATTTTCACCCCTGAAAACCTTTTAGAGACCTTTTTCTGAAAAATATTTGAAATCTCTTCGATTCATACCTTTCAGCCCCTAACCCATGATTTAAGGAAGATCCTACTGTCGATCGAAGGGTTGAGGAAAAGATTTACTCCTTTATTGAATCAAAAATTCATATTTTGAAAGAAAGAAAGCGAATTATAGGGTTTATTTGATTAGAAATCAAAGTTTAGAAACTTATTGACTGTTCGGGTCGCTTTTATGCGCTCACGAAGAAGAACAGACTCGAACATATTAAAAAAATGTTTTAGTATTTGATTACAAAGTTTATTTATTGTATTTCATCAATATAAATGAAAATTTAGTGTTTAAAAATGGAAATTATTTCTAAATATTTCAGAAGAGTTTTTAGAAGATGTTTACAAATGTTTCGAGTGCTTGGATTGAATAAATGAATTCGAATCTTTAAAATTTTAGTTAAGCCATGTATCCATTGTTGGAACGTAATAAACTAACGATTGAAAGGTTAGTAGTTTTATCGACTTCTATTTCGAACCTTATAAATGGTATAAACGCTTATGTCGTAGTTTCTAGTCAGGGTTTCCTTGGGTTACAGGGCAGTTGGATGCGCCTTGCTCGCGATGTCCTCCCAAATCATAGGATTCGATTATAAGGTTATAAAGCTATTCAATCAAGGGAACAAAATGAATGTGATAGTATAGTAGGGTAGGGCGCTACGAGTACGAACTAGGCGTTCTTTACCTGAATAAAGTTTCAAATAAATTCTTGAAATTATCCGTTTTCAACTGTTTTTCCTGAATGGCGGGTTTGGGGTGCAAAAATCGACTTTTGGGCTGAAATTCCTTTAAGAGACTCCCACTGGTAGGCTGACAAATACATTGTTTGATAAAATAAGAAATGTAAATCCCTAATACCTTTTTTTCTGTTTGCTTAGATACTGATCCAACGTCTATGCCAGGAAATCGGTCTCCCACCTCGGTTTTTCTTTGAGTTGGCTCATGGTGAAAGGACTGCCGATAATCCTTGTTTGTGGTGTTGAATATTTGAACTACGGGGGGTCTTTCTAAAGTACCATCCTAATTCACGCCCACCTGTTAATGTCTGTAAGGCCAAATTTTAGAGCTTAGTTATTCTGCTTGTGCTCCTACTGAGCGGTGCTTTCCTTACTCTTGCTGTTCTTCAGTAGCTTTCCTTCCTATCCGCCTTTTTCATCATCATCAATCTCATAGCTATTCTTTTCTTCTTAGTGTATTAATGAATGATGAATAATTTGCACTTTTCAGATTGAGAAGAAAAAATGGATGCTAATCCATCAGCACGAGGAAGAAGTCAACATGACCGAGGCTCAGCCTAACACTCCCTATGGGCTAGGCCCATGCCGTGATGGCGGTGTATGTTTACATTTAAACTTCTTTTCTGTTTACTGTTTGCTTCTAATCAGGAACCTTTCCGCATATAACCTCTTCTGTTCAGAGCGAATGCTATTGCGAACAAGAGATGCAGTGGTATAAATCCTCGAAAGCCGAATTAGGCAGGAAACAGGAGGAATGTCTCGTCAACGCGGACAACTTACCTCAAAGCGCGTACACTGGCTCGATCAGAGCTCAACAAGCTCGAAATTGAACTAAAAGACGCGCAAACGGAGCTGGCCAGGGAAATACAGGTATGACAAACTCCTTTTGAGAACAAACAAATGAATTCAAAAAAAAATTATTTTTCCTAAATTTAGAGGGACAACGAGCACAGGGCCGTGCATACCCGGTTGACCGTTGGGCTGTGCAATGGCCTCGTACCAACCTCTCGCTGGGCCTTCAACGAATAGCATTGCTTTTATTTAGCTTTGAATAAAATGTTGAAAATGAAACGGTGTTTATTTAGGCAAGAAAAGTTGAAGAACTTACAGTACTTTTCGTTGCTTGAGAAAGTTAATAACCATTTCTTTTCTTCCTGTTTTTAGGATGGCTAATTACAATGAAATGAGTCATTTTCCAATTTAGAATTGAGATGTCCAACAGACTAGCGGTACGTTTTCTTTGTTCCATGTTCTAATATTGAATCAAAATAGTGAGTAACCATTAAAAAAATCGAAATTTCCCTTTTTCAGCCAGAAGTCAATAGGTGCTGTAGGCTAGCACCTTCACTGGTGCAAGCTGTCCTGCTGAACCATCACACGGTGGATCGCATGACAATCGAGCTACGCCGCCATGCGAGAATGGAGCGTGAGTCATCTCGGAATCTCATGGAGATTCTGGAGAACCAACTAAGGGAGACGAAACGAACGATAAAGAGGATCCGAGAAGTAAGATTCTATTTTGGTTCCTTTTTTTTTTTATTTTGACTTTGAGTAGGATTTTATCAATGCCATTATTTACTCCTATTCCTTTCAGAGGCGTCAGCGACTGTACAAGGACATGGATGACAGTCGCCGTTATCCTGGCGGATCCAGGGATGCGCCTCGGACTCGAGCTGAAGGAGCTGCAGGCACAAACTTCAAGACAGCAATAAGTAAACCACTTTAAGTTGCGCTTTGAATAAATTTTTTCAATGAAGATTGTTTGGTTGTGATTGAATGTACTAAGTAAAACACACTTAGAGAGTAATTGGCGTTATCGACTTACTTGGAGGTGCGCCATGCATTTATCTACCTTGCGCGATTTTCTAAGTGATGTAAACCTATCTGCAGGTTTACTTTCTAGTTCAGGTCAATGTTTGGAATATCTAGGGTTCTTGATTGACAGATACATCTCTCTTGTAGATGTAAGGGATCTGGGTTCTAATCCTTTTTGTGTAAAGATTTGTGGAGACTTATGCAAGAATTACCGTAGTCTTACGGTGTAATACAAACGTTGCGTTCTACGCTCGGGAACGTTATGTAAGATGACACAGATATTCCGCTTCATAGCGGCTGTGTTATGGTATGTTGCCCCAACGGGTCACAGAATGTGTCATCGCCTACGCGGTTATGCAATTTATCTTTTTGCTAGCGCGACTGCTACAAAAATTTGCTATCTGTAGAAGCGGCTTAGCGGCGATTGTTTGCCCGCATATGCATTAGCAATGCATCTTTTGACTATCCATTGGAATTTGGCAAACCTGAGAGTAGCTAGTTCTCGTTAATTGGTACCACAGCTGCACTGACATTTGGGTCATTGGTGACAGCTGATTAATTAGTCGACTTAATGCGATCGAGTCCTTTTGAGAAAAATGTACGGCGAAAGTAGTTTTGACTTTTTATTGATTGAACTCCATGAATTATTCTAATAGAGTTATTGTTAGCTCCATAAACTCAAGCAAAATGTTTTGTTCCGCTCCAGAACCATCTGAGAGGAACGAGTGGAGGAGACCTCTTAGATCAAAAGAAATAGTGTTTTCTTAATATCCAAGGTTCCTTACTCACTAACTATGCTGGTTGTTAAATGGAGCATCAAATTCGATTGGCGCGCTTTTGTGATCATGTCATGTTGAGTAGCCGTGAAGAAAAGAGGATCTCGTCGCCTGGTTTGTTTTATGCTATTGCAGTTCAAAGTTATGCGTTGCCAATTCGAATTAAGTATTGAATAGTGCTTTTCATTGCACTGTAATCCAATTTTCAAAGAGGGAAGAGAGCGTCCTCCTCTCCCATGTTTTTTTTTCGGACCTTCCGGTCTGATATTTTTTTTATTATATTGAAGGATTAAGTATATACTTGGAGGTTAAATATGGGTTAAATATGTTTCAAAGTGAAAGAAAA